GTTCCCACACACACCACATGTCGCAGTGCACACATACCCATATTGCACCCAGACACATTACCACATACCCTCCATTCTGCACCCACAACTTGCTGCTCGTGCTCTGCATATACTTGGACCCCAGGGATTAGGGGAGAGGATAGACTTTTTTTTAACCCCTGAGGCTGCTTTGTTTCCCATCCTAGGTTCTGCTCACAAGGGTCAAGAATTGTTAAGAAACTAGATCTTGCCCCCACCACAGAGATAGTGCTGTTTCAGTGGAGGGACAGGAGGCCTGCTCTTGCCTCCCTTAGACCTGACATGACTGCGTCCTGCAGACTGGCTGCGCAAAGCCAAATGTCCATTTAGCATCTTCTGTGCAGGCCTATCATGTCCCTTTGCCCTTTGAACCAAGCTCTTCTCTGTCACTGGAATGTTCTTCCCCCCTTTTCTGCCTATTAAAATCTTTCCCTCTCCTCAATGCCTCGCACAAACCCCACCTTCACTGAAGAGGCCAGCTGGAGATGATCTCTCTCATTTAAACTCCTTAAAGTCTTTATTTTCTATAGCACTCATTGGATGCAAAGTAAACACTGCCATTGGGTGTTTAGGTTTTTGTTTTTCGTGTGTGTGCATATAAGAGCAGGGACTTTGTTTTGTATTTCTCTGCCTCCTGTTGATGACTTGCACATAATAGGCACTTCACAAGTGTTTGTGTATGGTGAAAGCAATACTACCAGCTACCAATAATTGAGCACCTAATATGTGCCAGGCATCTTATCTAGGTGATTCTTTTCAAAACTTTTTTGGTTTTGATTAAATACATTTTACATATGCAATAGCTTAATATGTTCTCTTTATATAAATGAATATTTAATACAGACTAAAAAGTGAAAGCCTCTCTCTTTCCACTTCTACCATCTACCCTACCCTATCCCCTTACTTCCTTTCCTAGAGATAGCCACTCTTAATAGTTCGGTCTACCTGACCTCTGTGTGTGTGAATGTGTGTATAATATATATAAAATCCCTGTGACTGATATACATGCATACAAGATATATATACATATAGCTTTAAACACATATAAATGAAATTATACAATATGTACAGAAACTCACTGTTTAAGCCTTACAAAATCTTAACAGAAGTCTAATAATTTTTATTTTAGATTTAAGAAAATTTGAGACAAAGAGAGGTGAATTAACCTTTCCAGGATGACATAGGTGAAAAGCAGAAGAGGCAGGATTATGAACCTGGCCTCTGCTCTCTCATCCAAATCATCGTGGGGTTTACACAGCAGCCTCTGGACCACCTATATCAGAACCCTGGACAGCTTGCTAGATGTGTACGTTTTTACCTGCCCCTCAGCCCCGGGTTCTGACTCAGTAGGTTAAGGTTGAGGCTCTGGATTCTGTAGGGTCGCAATCACGCACAGGTGATTTAGATGTATGCCACGGTTTATAAACACGCATCTGTGAAGGCACTACAGGTGGTTTCCTATTTTCTAGCACTTGTCTACACCAACTAGAGGGACAGTGGAGTGGTGGTGCAGCCATCTTGAGCTATGCTACATAGGTTCAAATCCTGGCTCTAATACTTCCAACTGGTAACTTGGGCAAATTAATTAATTTCTCTGGGCCTAAGTCTCCTCGTCTATAAAATTGGGATGGTAGATAATAATTCCTTACTCATAGGGTTTTTGTGAGGATTAAATGGCATTTATAGACATAAAGTATAACAGACATACAGAGTTGCTACTGTTGTTAGAACCAAACTATTCTGGAACCATTCTGGTGCTCCTTAGGTCTCTCCAGCAAGTGTTTAACAGTAGGGTTACACATTGTGGTTCTTGGTGATGTTCTCAGATTGGGTCTTTCCTGAGGGCACCTGCCCAAACATCTTGCTTGAGTCTGCCTAGGAAGATCCACGAGTTGAGGCCACTCCCTGTCCATCCGCTCTAGTGATAGGCAGCTGGAAGGAGTTCTAAAACATCTAGCTATTCCAAGAGGCTTTCCCTGGTGTCTAATCTATTTCTTTTCCTGCTGCTTGTTTCAGAAGGCAGCCCTTTGTGGATGCTGCTGGGGTCCAGCCAGATTCTCTGTGCTGACCACAGCTCTCGTCCCCAGCTGAGTGGCTCACAGCTTACACCTTCTATGGTATTCTATGCAGAGCTGTTCTTGCCTACTGAAACAGCGTCTCCCAGAGCTGATGGTTTGAGACTGGTGTGCCCTCTTGTCCCTGTGGTGAAGGCCTGCAGTAAATGACTAACTGATATGGGGTGTATAAAGCCTGGGCCCCTTGTGTCAAGTATAGTGGTAAGTAACTATGATGCTGCCACCCATGCCCTGCAACAGGCCAAAGCTAGACTTTGGCCAAATCTCCACCTTGCTTGGCTTCTTCCCCTGTCCTACTCTGTTTCCCTCCCATCTTTACCTTTGTTTTCCTGAGAGCCCTACCTCACTCATTCATCTGCACAGGAATCCGTGTCTGCTGTCTGCTTCTAGTTAACCTAAACTAGGACATTGCTGGCCACCATGGCCTGCGATAATAATGTTGTCATTGTACAAGCCACCTCTTGGCTTCTTTGTCCCCCACTTAAATAATTATTAGTTCCTTTCCAGAGCCTGTTTTCTAATCTCTTATCAGAAGCTGGCGTGAGGGGAAAGTATAATAAATGAAAGAGGGAGCCATGGTGCAGTGTGACACCAAGAAACCAGTTACCTGGGAGCCAGAAACAGTGGAAAGGTTCCACTCAAACCAAGTGCCAGGTTCACTGGTTGGAGGCACTTATTTGTCCCTCTTTTTCTGCACTTTCTGCACTCTTGAAGTCAAGATCTCTGAACACCACAAAATAACAGTGCTGTTTGCTACAGATACATTAAACCTAACATAGTGAAGGCTGCACAGATGGGAAAGGGAAGACATTGTTAAACCCGTTTATGTCATTGCACTGGATGTTTGGAGGGTAAGGAAGGTGCTGGCAGTTCACACAGGCCACTAATGTGGACCTGCCTCAGTCTATTATAGAAACAAAATGGCCACCAGGAATGCTTGTGTCCTGCCCACTGGCTTTTGGTTGAGCACTTACTTGACAAATATCTGTTGACATCAGAGCCTTTATGTTTCTCTCTGCAGTGTGGTTCCCTGAATACTATCTTTCCAGAAAGAATCTGCTGTACTGTTGGACATTTGGTTTTTCACTCCCTTTAGTAGTTCTCCAAACAAAGCTGTGTGATATGTAGCTTGTTTCTTCCCTTCAGAGGTCAGGGCTGGAGGCCTGGAAAGGGGACATCAGACACAATTAAAGAAAGATGCTTTGTTTTGCTATAAAAATTACTTGCAATTTTAATGCAAAATGTGATACTAGGGAAAATGTAAAAAACCCAAGCACCCAAGGGCAAGCCTAGCAACTCTCTATGTAGTTTTTAAAAGTTTTATTTATTGATTTTGGAGAGATAGGAAGGGAGGGAGGGAGAGAGAGATTGTTGTCCCACTTATGTATGCATTCCTTGGTTGATTCTTGTATGTGCCCTGACCAGGGATGCAGGGATGAAACCTACAACTTTGCCATGTTAGGATGACACTCTAACCAAGTAAGCTACCTGTCCAGAGCCTTCTGCATAAATCTTAACTCACAAATAAATACTTAGTCATCTAATATGTCTTCCTCAGCTTCAAGGTAAAGCCTTTGAGTTACTTTCAACCATGTTTCGCATTTTCAACAATGTCAGGCCTGGATAAATATTCCCAGCTCCCTGCTAACTGGATGCATTCATATAGATGGTCCAATATTCACTTAATTAACCAACAATATATATATTTAATAGATTTTATTTTTTAGAGCACTTTTAGGTTTACAGAAAAACTGGGTAGATGGCATAGAGTCACCAGATTTCTTCCCACCCTAATTTTCCCCTATTATTAATGTCTTGCAGTAGAATATTGGTTCAATATTGATGAATCAATATTTGTAAAGTATTTTTAACTAATCTCCATAGTCTATATTGGGGTTAACTCTTGGTGCTGTACATTCTATGGGTTTTGTCAAGTGTACTGTGTCATGCATCCACCATTACAGTATCACATAGAGTGGTTTCACCATCCTAAACATCCACTGTGCTCCAACTATCCATTCCTACCTTTCTCTCTCCTGAATCCCTGGCAGCCACTGATCTTTTTACTGTCTCTATAATGTCATATAGTTGGACTCATGGTATGGAGCCTTTTCAGATTGGCTTCTTTCATTTCTTAATATGCATGTCTTTTCATGACTTGATAGCTCATTTCTTTTTGTACTGAATGATATTCTGTTGTCTGGATGTACATACCCCTTATATACTAGACATGGGTGTGACAACTAAAGAGATCCAAAGGAGGCAAAGAATCAGTCTTTACCGTCAAGAAACTTCTAATCTAGTAGGGGAGAGAAGGCACACACCATGCAAAGTCAGTTAATAATATTAAACATGCCAATAGATACATATGGAACGAATAACTGCTGTAACAGTTAAGAGGCAGTAAGAGTTCGTGGAGGGCTCGAGAGAGGAAGTGTGATGAGACTAGGACAGGTGAGACAGAGAGGACAGAGACGGGATTGAAAGAAGGCTCTGCATGCCTCAGCTTTTCAGTGTGTGTCCTCTCACCAGGCTATAGACAGAGAAGAGAGAAAAGGGATATGATGTGCTCACAGTGTGTCCACCTCTCTGGCTCAAGGCTGTCCCTGCACAAGAAGTTTCTCTGGCAATGAATTCACAGGGGATCGGCTCATTTCTGCTCTCAACAGGTGAACAACCACACAGAAGGAGAACTGGTGTCTATATTAAATCCCATTTTCAGGCAGCAAATCCTCTTGAATCTTTAGCCAAAATTTTTTTGTGTGTAGAATATAAAGTTTACTTTAGAAGAGAGTATTTTATACTATTTGTGTGTGTGTGTGTGTGTGTGTGTGTGTGTGTGGTAAAATAGGTAGTAGGATACCAGAACATTTATATTCTAGTCTTCATATTTTTCTGCATTAAAAAAGAAATATGGAACACTTCAATTCATGTGTCATTATTGCACAGGGGTCATGCTAATCTTCTCTGTATTGTTCCAATTTTAGTATATGTGCTGCTGAAGTGAGCACTACACTATTTTTTTATTGTGGTGAAATACACATAATATAAAATTCACCATCTTAACTCTTTGTAAGTGTAGCGTACAGAGGCATTAAGTACATTCACATTGCTGTGCAACCATCACCACCATCCGTCTCCAGAACTTTGTCTTCCAAAACTGAAATTCTATTCCCATTAAACACCATTTTCCCCTGCCCCTACCCTGAGCCCCTCCAACCATCATTCTACTCTCTGTCTCTATGAATTTGGCTACTCTAGGAACCTCATATAAGTGCTACCCTACAATATTTGTCCTTTTGCATCTGGCTTACTGTTTTCCATAGTGGTGGCACCATTTTACACTCCTGTCAGCAGTGCACAAGGGTTCCAGTTTCTCCACAGCCTCACCGATGCTTGTTGTCTTCTAGTTGGGTTTTTTCTTTTTTTTTTTTATAATAGCCATCCTAATGGGTGTGAAGTGGTCTCTCATTGTGGTTTTGATTTCTTTAGCTAAACTTTTATTTGTTAGGAAAGGAGTTGAGAGTAATGATTCCTCTACAGGATGATAATTGTAAGTGCACTCCAGTTTGCCCCTTAGTGGCCAGCCTTCCTGCCTTTGGCAGTTCACCTATGTCCTCTGGGGCCTCTTGTATAAAATGTTAAAATCCCTTCCCCACACCCATCTCCCTTCCCCAGGGATGATCAGTGTTATGTAAAAGGCTCTTCTAAATATTTAAATGCACACAGATATGCACCTATGAGAAGCATAATATAGTTGTGTTTTATCTTTTGTTAATTCAGTTTTTAAATGGCAAGCATGTTACAGTGCAGGGTGCCCAAGAGCTGGGTGGAGAGGCCTGGGTAATCCCAGAATAAGAGCATTGGCTGCTGGATGAGGGGGATTAAGGAACACAGAATTGGGAGCCACCCTTCATGTTTCCCTTTTCCCCACCTCTACTAGCAAGATTTTTGGTTTCGTTTTTGCAAGACATTCCAGCGTCTTGTAAGCACACACAAGACTTTCCAGGAAAGCCAAGACCAAGGCCTGGCTGATTGGGCTGATAAAGATGCAGTCAGCCACTTTTTAATTTGGACAGTTTATTACTTACAGAAATAGTGAAAGAAGATTAGCCAAAGGTGCCAGCTCCCTGGGTCTTTGTCCCACACTACAGAGGATGACACTGAAACAAATGGGGCTGGATGAGCTAATTCTTATCTGGCAGTATAAAACTAGGCAGTTTATGGTTGGCAGTTCTGTCCTGAAGGGGGCTGTGTGGAAGTCTCATACCTCATGAGGACCCAGGAAGTGATGAGAAATAGTCTCCTGAAAGCTTCCTAGGGGACATAGAGGGGTATTATGGGCTGAATTATGTCACCCCCAGCCCAAATTCATACTGTTGATTTCCTAACCCCCACTACCTCAGAATATGACTGTGCAGACAGATGGCCCATAACTTAATGGTGGTTTGACTTAAGATTTTTCAACTTGACAATGGTGTGAAAGAGATATGCATTCAGTAGAAACCGTACTTCGAATTGCGGATTTTGAGCTTTTCCTGTGCTCATGATATGTGCTGTGATACTATTTCATGATGCTGGGAAGCAATAGCAAGATGATTTTACCCAACTGTAGGCTAATGTAGATGTTCTGAGCACATTTAAGGTAGGCTAAGCTAAGCTATGATGTTCGGTAGGTTAGGTACATTAAATGTATTTCATCTTACAATATTTTCAGCTTATGATGGGTTTATTGGGATTTAACCTCATTATGAGCCAAAGAGCATTTGTATATGGAAACAGGACCTGTAAAGAAGTGGTTAAAAGAAGACCATGTGGCCTTAACCGATCTGGCTCAGTTGGTTGGGTATCAGTTTGCAAAGCAAAGGCTAGCCAGTTTGATTCCTGATCAGGACACATGCCTGGGTTTGGGGGCAGGTCCCTGGCCAGGGGCATTCAAGAGGCAACGATGGATGTTTCTCTCTCACATCAAAGGTTTTCTCCTCTCTTTCTCTCTCCCTTCCCCCTCTCTAAAATAAATAATATATATATTTTTTAAAGAAGACAATCACATGGATGGGCCCTAATCCAGTCTGGTGTCTTTATGAGAAGAGGCAATTAGGACATGCACATGCACAGAGGGAAGACAATGTACAGACACAGGAGAAGCCAACCATCTACAAGCCAAGGAGAGAGGCCTGGAGAAGATCTTTCCCTCTTTGCCTTCTGAGTGAAACAACTTTGCTGACACCTTAATCTTGGACTTCCAGCCTTTACAATGGTGAGAAATTCAATTTATGTTGTTTAAGCCACCCAGTCTCTGGTACCTTGTTATGGTAGCCGAAGCAAACTAATACAAGAGGCAAATAGAAAATGGCCTCAGGGCTACTCCTCATAAGCCTACATCTTCCCATGTTCTGCCAAGACTCAGATTAGCAGCAGTTCAAGCCTTTCCTTCATGGCCCATGTGGACATGTGCAGGGCACCATGGGGGAGCTGTTCCTAGGGGAACACCTATCTGCTTTGTGGATAATGAGATATCGTGTGATATCCATGACTTCCAAATATGTTCATGCGCATGCGCGCGCACACACACACACACACACACACACACATATTCACTTGAAAAGGTGTGAAGTATGGTTTTTAAAAGTTTTATTTTAAAGATGGGTTTATGCTCTGCCTACTGTTTTGAAAGATTTTTTTTTTTTGCTTAATGGGCAGTATTGCAGGCTGTCTCACAGTGGCAACTGTCCCCTGGATCACCGCCATAGTAGTCTACTCTTGAGGCTGCCATTTCCACAGACCATCCCCTGAGTCCCCACCTTCCTGATGGTGACATTAGTATCTTCAGAGGTGACCCAGTAAGGGAACTATTGTATTTTCAACACCAGAGGTCATGGTGACTTAGATAGGACAGTGGCAATTAGGATGGAGAAAATTAGATGAATTTGAGATTTGTGGAACATATGTAAAATCTCACCCATTTTTCTCCCCACTGCATTCCTCTTCCCTAGTTCATATGTGAAAAGTCCTTCCAAATATTTAATGCACACAAATCTCCACATACAAGTGCCATTTCATCTTTTATTTGTTTATAAAGTAGAGTCATACTATGCTAATAGTAAATCATACTATTTTTTTCAGGATGCTTCTTTTCACCTGATGACATGTGAGCAGCCTTACATATCAGAACCTATATATGTTGCTTATTCTCTTTTTATCAGCTGTATGCTATTCCATGCCAGTATGAAACATTATATTATATATTTTTAACTATACCATTATTGGCAAACACAGAGGTTGGCCCTATTTTTAATGTTACAATAAGTACCCTTGGATGTGCAATTTTGTTCTTTCCAGAGTCTCTGTAAGAATGATTTCTAGAGTGAAAGTATTGTCAGGAGGTATATACCCAACAGAAATGTGCTTCCATGTGCACCAAAAACACATACAAGAATGTTCTTAGCAGTACTACTTGCATAGCCCCAAACTGGAAACAACCCAGATGTTCTTCACCACACAATGGAATAGTCGAGTTCCATCTAGCAATGAATGGAATTCTATACAGCAACAAAAATAAATTCTCTGCTTCATAGAACAACATAGATGAAGCTTAAAAATATAATATTCAGTGAAAGATGCCAGACATGAAAGAATATAACTACATAATTCCATTTATGGGATGTTCAAAAATAGGCAAATTCTGTTAGAAGTTAGGATAGTGGTTACCTTTGGGGGAATTTACTGATGGAGAGAGGACACAGGGGGCTTCTGGGTACACATAATATTCTCTTTCTTGATCTATGCAATGGTTACCTGGAGGTGTTCAGTGTCTGAGCCACACGTGATTTGTGTACTTTTTTATAATCATGCTCTATTTCAATAAAAGTTTCCCTGCATTACTTTAAAGGCACATGTGTTTAAAATAGTGATTGCAACTATCAAATTGCCCTCCAAAATGGTGGCACCAATTTGCACACTCACCAATAACACACATGCATTCTTTCCTCACATCCTTGCCAACAGTGATGCTGGAAGGCTTTTTGATTTTTTGCCAATTTGATGGCATTTGCATTTTCCTAATCACCAGCAAGTTGAATATCTTTCATGTTTATTGGCTATTTGCATGTCTTTTTTAATGAATTACTGTTTATACTTTTCCCCAGTTTTCTATTGAACTGTTTGGTTCTTATTTATGTATAAAGGATATTAACTTTTTGTTGGATGTGTTGCAAACATGTTCTCCTAGAGCACCTTTCATCTTTTCACTTTGTTTATGGCACTTCTCAGAGGCCTGCTGGGGCAAGGTAAGCAACACAAATAAGTGATGCAGGCTTGGAGGGCTGTGACCGGCCTGGGAGTGTGCATCCCTCTGCTGGGCTGTGGCCAAGCATTGCCAGTGGGAAGGTAGGAACCAGTGTGCTAGATCTCATTCTTCAGGGGATGCTGGAAATAAGGACTCTTGTAGGAAAACTTCCAATTTTAAAATGCTGGCAACTTGTTAAAAATGTTAAGCACTGTAAGAGACAACACATGTTCAGACTGGGTGGGATCTGCAGGACACCAGTCTGCAGCCTCTGGCTGGCACTGTGTTTCACTGCAGAGGAGGTTTGTGTTGTCACGTCTGTCCATCTTTTCATGAGTTTTGAGTTCTGCGTCATATATTTTTTATCAATTTAACACATTTTAAAAACTCTCTAAATCCTTCTCATTTAAGGATGCAGAGAGAAGCTTTTCATGCTTTTATTCGAGTCTCCTTAGTGAGAAATAAAGGTGACTACTACATTATCAGACTCAGAGAGTGGAAGAAGTCTTGACGTTCTGGATGTGGGTGGCTGGGCCCACAGGTGGCTACAACACCAAAATTAGAACTCCTTCCCATTTTCTCATTTAAGGCCAAGGACTCCCTTTCTCTCTCTCTCTCTCTCTCTCTCTCTCTCTCTCACACACACACACACACACACACACACACACACACACACACACACGATGGGATTTCAAGGGAAGAGAATAAAGCATTTTATTCTAT